TAACGAGGGGCGAAATTGATGTTTGGGTGTCTCGTGGATGAAGGGAGATTGCAGTGAAAGGTGGATTGCTGTCGTTGAAATTTGGTGTAATGTTTAGTGGAGTTTTTTTTTTCTGTCGTGTTTTTTTTTTTGCACGTGCGTTTTTCTGTATGATTTTTATTTATTTGTCTGCTTATATTTCAAAGGTGCCGAGGAACGTTGTGTTTTTTTTTTTTTAGGATAGTTTGTGTAGGATGCGTCGTGTGTTTTAAGTCTTTGGACATTTTCAAACAATAAGGGGTTTTGTGGTCCGCCTGTGTATATACCGCTTGAGTATGCGAGCCGTGTGATAAACCAAAAACATCTTGTTTTTACACATCCCAAAGAACCGAAGTATGGCTGGAATACTCATGTGGAGGAGTTGGTGTCCCTTTATCCTGGTATTTTGGGACCCGGGCGCCGCACGCCTCAGTTGAATTGATATAATCGAGGTGAGATTTTTTGTGATATTCCTTTTGTTCTTGTGCATCGTGAGCATATTTGGTGTCAGGGCTACTCTTACTTTATCCTGCAGCACCCGAAGATCTTTATGAAGTGTCCTCCTGTTGTTGTTGTCTGCTCCAAGTGGTGTTGGCTGAAGTTAATCAACATGGCTACCGAGGAGGATAAGGATGATGATTGACAGAGTGAGGAGCATTAAATTTTGACGACACAAGAGTCTGTAAGTGATTTGGTGCAGCCTATACGTGACAGTTGGGGGGGGGGGGGGTTCAATGTGCATCGCAATGTTATTGGATTCATGATATAAAGACAATACGACTGGTTCCAAAATGAGGAAGCTTAAGTGTTCCATTTTGCCTTTTTGGAGCATGGTGGATCAAATTTTGGATGACGCGAGGTGACCCGGCGGAATTCCTGAGCTGTTTTCAAGGCCCAGCCTTACCTCACTTCAAAAGAACCGTGTTCGGCAGTCGTTAGATCAATTTGACGTGTTGGGTGGCGGCGAGCTGGAATAACAGTAGTTTCGGCGCCTCTATTTGCTTTATATCGATCTTCCCGTTATTGGGCATATCGTTGAAGCTTACGCCAAGTCCAACCGACGGGTAACCATGCCTTGAGTGGATTTTGAAGCATTCTTCAGGAGGCGGGTGACCTCGTGAAGCGGGAGGGGCCTGCACATTGCAAGAGATGATGAACTGCCGCAGAGGTTAGACAAACCCCATCGTTTGTTTCTTTAAAATTTCTTTCTTCTTATATTGACTTTTTTTTTGTTAATGCTTTCTTTGTATGTGTTGCTTTTTTGGTTTCTTGTGGGAGATTTCTGCCTTTGGGACCTAGAAAAAAAAAGGTGAAGGTGACTGTTACTCTATGGCTTTTTGTGTTTTTGTTTTTGTTGTGTTTGTGTGGCTCACAGGCACTGTTGAGGCGGTGGATGGCGACATTGACTGTGGGACAGCGAGGGCGTGCCACCCCTGGGGGAATACTGATACGGAGAATAAGGAACAGGTACCATGCGTGCGTGGGAAGCGCATGAACCTTCGTTTAATGTTGGATGTTGCAGCGGAGAGGGCTGATGTGGCAGCTGGGAAAGCTGCCACTGCAGTGTATGGGTTTTGTCCTGTAGTTGATCAACTTGATGTGTTTACGCTGGCTTTAGCTCCTTCCGTGGCAACTCTCAGCGCCACCGGCGGTTTGTACAGTCTTACACACAACGTTGGACAAAAGTATCTCTCCGCATATGGGTTTGGAATGTCAAACAGCACGCTGTTCCCCCAGAAGGGTCACTCCACAGGGGCTGTTGTAGTCGTGGGAGACGGGATGTCACTGTGTGGGTCCCCCCACTCCGTAGCACTTGTTCATACCCTACTTCTGGACATTGGCTTTCACCGGGGGCGGTTTAACTACATTGGCGCTAGAAAGGCCTCACCACCACCGAATGCCACATACAGTGGCACAAGCAATGCTACCCGGGGCTCTCACAAAGCCGATAACGAAGAGACTGAAGTTGCTGTACAACCGGCAATGGTCGGATTCCGCCCCACGTGTGATGAGAATGACGAATGTCTCTTTGATTCTGCAAGTATATGTGTTGGGGATAAAATTGGACATAAAAATTGTGCAAAATGTTACGACTCCCCTTCGGACATCATGAAGGAGAACCTTGTCGTGTGGACATCGTACTATGGAACCGATGCGCATGGTCGCCCAATGCGGAGTGGTGGACTCAACCCGCTGAATTATAGACAGTTTGCTGGAATTCGGTTGTTTAGAGACCTTGAGAAGGCACTCAAGCGCCTGAAGTCGGGTTCGCTGGGTTGGTAGTTGCGGGGTAATGAGGCAGCAGAAGAAGATGGTGCTATTTACTGAGTTATGCGCGCAATTGTGGCGAGGAAACAAGACGAGACGGCTAGGGGGACAAAAAAAAAAATGGAGGAGATGTCGAGAGCTATTTGTATGTGTGTCTTTTCCTCCACCTTTCTTTTTTTTTTTGTCTTTGGGTTTGTGGTTGTTATTGTATCCGTTTAGTAAATAAAAGGATTAGTGTTCTCGCGGTTTCCACAAATTCTTTCCGCAAGTTTTCGTGCTTGCTGATACACGAGGCTTGCTGCTCCTACCCCGTTTTGGTGGCATCCCCTCCTCCTCCTCCTCCTCCTCATGCAAAGCCTACGACCCGTATATTAGTCCACTTCGTTGAAATGTATTTATTTATTTATTTTTCTTTTGTTGTTGTTTTGTTTTTGGGCAGGTGTCGGGGATTGCCACCGCATTTTTTTTTTTTTTGTGACCCTTCTAGTCATAGTCGCCTGTTTCATTGGTGCGGTTGATGCACAGAGCACTGCATGTGCTTCGGGCACGGCTTTCCAACCGCGGGAAGTGAATAGGCCCCGTTACCTTGGTAAGCAAGTGGATCTTCGGTATGGGGTGTTCGAGTTTCGTGCTCTTTGGAGATGATTACGTTTGGATTTTGTCCATTTGTGGATGAGCTTCAGGCATTTTGACCTCACCAGGACGGGTTCACTGCTCTTTAGTCTTCGTGTAGGGGACTGCGTCTGTATGTTAATCTATGGTCAGGGATCAGCATTAAACCGAACCTCCGACGTTCTCAATGCGGTGTTGTTCGCTGAAGTATGCGATGCGCGCGGCGACGGTGAGTGGGCGTTTTTTAATTTTCTTATACTGCGCTTCATGATGACCCAGGGTCGATACACTTACGCGAACAACACGTCATACTCAACATGCTCAGGCTTTGAGCTCATTTGCGACAGCCACAATCACTGTTGTTACGCCTCTGGGAGTGTCTGTGTCGGTTTGCCTGACGATAATAATTGTGCCAAATGTTTGGCAAGGGAGGCATTGAAGAAGGTATAGGCGACGGTCTGGGTCCCGTATTACAGGACGAACACTGACAGTAAGGTGCTTAAAAGCAGACAACCCGATTCTGCATAGTTTCAGCGATTTATGATGGGTGTTTTGGGGGCAGCCTCAAGAGCATTTGGGAACCAGCGGTATATCGCTTGCGGGACTTGCTTGTGACAATAATTGAGTTAAAGATGTATAATATACATTTATAGTGGTCTCACGATGAGATAAGCGTTCTTAAATTGAGAGCTGGGTGAAATGTACATGCGTGATTATTATTACTACTATTACTCCTTTTTTTGTGCCTATTTTTTTTTTTCCTATTGAAATCCTCTCCGTAAACGACTACTGATAGTTATGAAGTAGGAAAAGGGGAAATAACAAGTTCCATGTCATGCCTCACTTCCTTCGGACCTCCATAGCAGCTGTTGGGCTGTGCGGGGCGGTGACCATACTTTACAACCGTTTGTGGGCACATCGAACATCACCTGAACGCAACAAGGAGCTTTTTCGCCTATCTGCAGTGGCACTATCTAGTGAGGTGGTGAACACCGTTCTTTTTCGTGACAAAGAGTCACTGAAGCTGCTTCGCCGTTTTGTGAAGGATGTGTCCTTACATCCGGCTACGGTGGGGGCTGTTAAATCACATTTTAGGGCGGAATTCACTACAAACAAAGAAACGGTCGCCGCACTGCGCAAGTTTGTTGTGAAAGAGATCATCTGCGACAAGTGGGTTGCTGATGAGCTTATCGGCATGTCGAAAGAAGCCGGAAAAGAGATCATTGAGGACCCGACCATATACCCTGACCTTTCCTTGCGTTTGCTTGCCTCTGCGGCTCAAGAGGGATTACAAACGCGCCCATTTAAGGATGCCTTGCGAGGTGCACTGGTGTCGGCTTTCTGCTTGGCTTTTTTGGGGTCTCAGCCGGAATTCATTGTCAAGGAAATTAAAAAAACGAAATAGTCAAAAACCGGCACGGCCCATATTATTGTTATTTTTTGGTATCTGTCTGTGTGTGTGTGTGTGCTTGTTTTCTTTGGGGATGTGCTGGTTATGCTTTGGCTGCGTTGGTGTTGAGTTTTTTTTTTTGTGGACGTGTTTGTGTATGTTGGTATATGTGCATGTGTGTTGCTGCGCCGTGGGCCGTGAATGGGGTTGTGTGATGAAGTTAACGGATAAAAGTACAATGGAATTGAAGTATGTAGGTTTTTACATCCCCATTAAAACAAAAAAAAATAATAATAATCTCATGGCGATAGTAGCGTCACCTGCGTGCTCGTGTCTACGTGTACTGTGAAGGCGGCTGCTTTATTCGCTTTGAGGTCTCCCCATTCTCTTTTTTTTTAATTTCTCTGATTTGTGCCTCTGGTCGCCCTCAAGAGCCATTCCGTTCGTGTGGTGTGTAGAATGGGCTGCTTTGACATCATTCTGTGCATTGCTCCCCCAGCATTCGGCGGTGAAGGGAACTCTTTGCCTGAGGAGCAGTCTAGGCTTGCATTGGAGGGTCTCGCGAGTCGTGTCGATCAGGTGCTGAGTCATGCCACTCCCCGTCGTATAGTGAGCGCCATTGCCGCGCGTGTCCGTTCCGCTCCCGCCTTCTCTCATCAGATGAATATTCTTGTTGGTGCTGAATGTTCCAGGGAAATTCTTCTGGGGCTCCTTTATGAACTTATTTACCAGCATCATGGAGATGATGCTCTGCCCCTGCAGTGTATGTTTTTTGCGTCTGACCAGTCTTCGATACGGTGTGAAACTGTCGGTCAAGAGGCGATGGGGTCTGTGATGGAGTTGGTGCGTGGGATGGGGCATATTGTATTGGTTGCACTGAAATTTAGAGGTCGAACGATGACCCTCGTTGTGGTGGAGCAGCTATCTACAACTCTTATTGCTTCCATGCTGGGTTGTGTATGGTGCAACCTGTGGCTCGTACAGGGCAGCCTTGACTCTGTGGAGCGCTCCATTTCAGTGCTGCGGGAGGCGCTTTCCGTGCTGGACGCTGTGGAGGGCTTCTGCAACCTTCCGGAGGACACGATCGCGGGGAGAGCAGATGTGGGGGCAGTTTTACAGACAGATGTCCTGTCGGATGAGGAGGCGCAGCGTCTTGCCGCACGCTGGCAACAGTTTACCCTGGGACATGAAACGAGGTATGACTACAGGCGTCTTGCGGACGAAAATGCGGCGCTGCGCATTGCACGCACAGAACTGCAGGTTCGTCTGGGGAAGCGGGAGGAGTGCTTCGCCAAGGAAATTGAAGTCAAGGAGCGTGAAATAGCACGTCTACGACACTTGTTGCGGCAAACCGAGGTGAATTGGGAGAAACTGAACACAGCTGAGGCGAGAGGCATGCAACTGGAGTCACGCCTCGATGAAAAAGACGATAAGTGTCGACTTCAGAAGGACCAAATGGAGGTGTGTAGGCAGATGCAACCAATAGAAATGGATTGTCACAACGGACCGGAGCAACTGAGTGACGGAATTGACTCCGAAAAAGATGGGGAGATTATAAACCGGCTTAGGCAGGAGTTGTCAGAGGCGCAGGCGAGGTTGTGTCGCGTGGAGCAACAGTGGGAGGCGTTAAAGGAAGAGAATTTGCAGAATGTCATGGAATTTCATGAGAGAGAAAAGGAGTGGCAAGTAGAGTTGAAGCGGGGGGAAGATGAACGGGGGATCCTTGCGGAGGAGTGCCGTCAACTCCGCTCCGTTGTAACCTCCCAAGGCTCCAGCCTGGACCTCGTCAAGGAGGCTATTGAATCCACGCGTTTGCTTCAAGAGCAGGAATTGGATGATCTTTTGAAAAAAATAAGGGCCCTTTCCTCGGCCAGTGCATATGCAAGCCATCGGCGTGTTTCGCCGCGCCGTGGAAAACACTTGGATTTTTGGAACGGCCTGCGGTTGCTCTCGCCATTGCCCATTGTCAAGGACTGTTATTCATCTTGAGGAAGGCATTGTGTTTTTGTTTGCTGTTTTCCTTTTACCTCGCTCTTGTTGCTGCGCGTATGTTGATAGGGTGTGCTGTTATTGTTGTTATGTTTTCCTTTGAGACAGGTTGTTGTTATGCATGCCGAACGGTGTGCGTGTTTTGTTTATGTTGTCTGCTTTACATCTTTTTGACCTCCTCTTTGCTTTTGCTGGCAAGGTACACTGCTGAATACACAGACGCTTAGATATATAAATAAATAAATAGAGAGAAAAAGAGAGGGATAGGTTAGTAGGGCGAGGGGTCGCATACACATTGGTCCTTAAACACACGTTTGTGTGGCTCACCACTTCTAGCAAAGAGCAACGATGCATGGATCAGCAGAAAGCTCGTCAGTCAGTCTCTTGCAACTCATGTCTACCCAGCGTGGCTGGAAAACCTATCGCGTGCGTGGGCAGATGTTTGAGGTGGAGGAACGATATACATTGATGTCGGTTGTGGGGCATGGGGCGTATGGGGTTGTGTGTGCGGCGTTTGACAGTACGGAATTTCGAGATGTAGCCATCAAACGCGTCAGTCACATTTTTGATGATCTTGTGGATGGCCGACGCATCTGGCGGGAAGTATTAATACAACGTATTCTTCAAGAGAATGGCTGCCGCAACATATTAAACCTTATAAGAATTGCGCCACCCAAAGAAGGTGTAGCAGAATTCTGTGATTTGTGTATAGTGAATGAACTTTACGATACCGATCTTCACGCGGCTATTCATCGTGCTAAAGATACCTCTGTGAATATGCTTCAGCGAATTATGGTACGTGTACTGCGTTGTTTGGCTGACATGCATTCTATGGGCATCATTCATCGTGATATTAAGCCAAGCAATATTTTACTTGGGGATAAACACGATAGCGACAATGCAGTGGTGTGTGACTTTGGGCTCGCACGGGCAGGCCTCTTAGATTTAAACGAACCATTAGATCTCACGGACTACGTCGTTACTCGTTGGTACCGTCCACCAGAGCTCTTACTAATGTGTCAGTATAGTTTTCCCATTGACATGTGGGCCATGGGGTGTATTATCGCGGAGTATGTGATAGGACGTCCACTGTTTGGTGGCTGTGACTATATTCATCAGATGCAGCTGGTGCTTTCCAGCGTTCCGGTGACAGGAGTTGAGTTCATTGAGAGTCTGAGCGGAAGCGCCTTGGGATTCATTAGGGAAAATGTGATGAAATACAAAGATAAACGGCCACTCGCAGATGTGTTGGAGGGTCTCTCGGCTGAAGGCATTGATTTGGTAACAAAGCTTCTTACCTTTGAACCCAAAAACCGGTTGACGGCGAAGCAAGCCCTGCAACACTCTTTTTTTGCCTCTGTTGGAGGCGAGGGAGTATCGCAGTGTACTCGTCCACCCAAGAAGGACCTTTCCTTTGATCTACACGCAGATATCTCAGAGGCGCAGCTGCGGCGTTTTATATGGGCGGAGGTGTTACACTATCAAGAGGAGGAAACAAAGAAGAAGGGAGGGAGGCAATCGTAGCAAGAAACAAACCGCAGAAAACAAAAACAACATGGAAGGAAAGTGAGTGAGATCCTCACACACATAGAAAAAAAAAACGCCACAATACGTGCAGGGAATAAGCAATAATAATGAGAATCAACGAAAAGTTGAATGTGGCTGTTTACAGGTGATAAACGTTTTTTTTTTTTCTGTGCTCGTTGCAGCTTCTGCTACCGGGGTGTAGGGGAATGGATTTGTCGGTTTCTGTCCACAGCCTTTTTGCTGGCGGGTGTTGGCGTTTTAGACGGCCTTGCAGAATTTATTGTGGTGTGTGGCGTGAGTCACGCCGGCGGCGCTCGTCCTCCCCTACCTATTTGCTCTACGCCGCCTGTCTCTTCTTCTTACCCAGCGAGAGTGACAGAGAGACAGGACAATGCGGACCGCGTGGCGATGAGAAGAGTGCAAATTCAGGGTAAGGACGGATGCCGCCTGTGTTGTATTATTTTTCTTGTTGTCTGCGGCTGCGGATGAGACGTGCCACGTGGCGGTGAATTGAAAGGACATCACCCCTCATGACAATAAAACGGGCGTTTTTTCTGCCCCTTTTCTGCTGCTAAGCATGCCGCTTAAAGGTGTCAATCAAACCAAATAAGTAATCTGTTGCGCGAAATCAATAGAGAGAAAAACTTGAAGTGTTTCCAAGGGCGTACTCACACTCACACACAAAGAAAAAATATTATAATAAGGGAAAGAGGAGGAACTATAGAAAAAAAAATAAAAGAGGGTCGTCGCACTCATCTTTCACGGTTTTTATGTGTTTTGCGGCAGATGCTCTATGGAATTATTCTGCTGGTATTGCTGGAGTGGAAGCTGGGTCTGTTGCGCTCCCTGCTTACGGTGGTACTCCACACGGTGGAGCGTTACTCGGCGCCAACCATCACGGTATCCTTGCCGAGGACAAAGTTTGATGTGGCGCCAGCCGCGAACCCCCTCACACCCCGATCAGGGCCCCCAGGTACAATACAGTGCTATGATAAGGGCACGAATACACAGATTGGTCTTGTAACCGTCACGACTCCAGACGAGGTGCGTGCGGCGGTCTCTCGGGCCCGAATCGCCCAAAAGTCCTGGGCAAAGACGTCCTTTTCAACAAGACGAAAGTTGCTTTTTAGTTTGATGGATTACGTCTTGCAGCACCAGAGCTTTATTTGTGAAACTGCCTGCGTGGAGTGTGGAAAAACTATGATAGACGGTTCACTTGGTGAAATGCTCACCACTCTGGAGAAGCTTCGCTGGACGGCGGCGTATGGAGAGGATGTCTTAGCTGAAGAGGTACGAGACGTAGGCCTCATGACGTTTCACAAGCGCGCCGCCGTGAATTACGTTCCTTTTGGTGTTATTGGGGCCATTGTGTCGTGGAATTATCCCTTCCATAATATTTATGGGCCAATGATATCCGCATTATTTGCTGGCAACGCATTTGTGGGAAAGGTATCTGAATACTCTTCCTACTACGCGGCATATTATCAGTCTATTGTGAGGGAAGGCTTGAAGAATTTGGGTCAGTCTCCGGATCTTGTGACGTTTGTCACGGGGTTTGCGGAAACGGGGGAGACGCTTGTTAGTTCCGTAGATAAGCTCACATTTATTGGCTCCCCCGCCATTGGGAAACTCGTTATGCGCAACGCCTCAGCGACACTTACTCCTGTTGTATTAGAACTTGGCGGCAAGGATCCTGCGGTGGTGTGTGACGATGTGGACTTGGATCAGGTGGTTCCTATCATTTTGCGTGGCACGTACCAAAACTGCGGTCAAAATTGCGTTGGACTGGAACGTGTTATTGTGCAGGAGTCCATTCACGATTGCCTAGTTGAAAGGCTGGAAAAGGCTGTCAAGACACTAACGCAAGGTCCGGCCTCGCAGGGATTGTATGACATGGGAGCTATGACAATGGGAGAGGCCTCTCTACAGAAAATTCAGAAGCTTGTCGACGATACCGTCGCAGCAGGTGCCACTCTTGTTTGTGGTGGTAAACCCAGCAATGGTTTTTTCCCACCAACCATCCTGAAGAACGTCACACCTACGATGCCTATTGCGAGGGAAGAAGTCTTTGGGCCTGTGCTTGTCGTGATGAAGTTTAAAACCGACGAGGATGCAGTGAAAATGGTCAACGCATGTGAGTATGGTCTGGGCTCGAGTGTCTTTTCAGAGGACATCAAGCGTGCGAGACGGATTGCAGACCAACTAAGGTCAGGAATGACGAACATCAACGACTTTGGCATTAATTACCTTTGTCAGTCGTTGCCCTTTGGCGGGGTAGGAGTCAGTGGATTTGATCGATTTGCCGGCAGAGAAGGTCTTCGTGGCAATTGCGTTGTGCGGGCCTCAACGACAGACCGCATCCCCGGTGTGAAGACGGTCATACCGCTCATTCTACAATACCCAATCACGGATGCCGCTTTTACCTTTATGGAATCCCTATCGCAAGTTATATACGGGCCGATGCTGTCTTCTATGAAGGCATTGATTAAACTCTTCTCTATTAAACCTGAAACCTCGAAGAAGTACTAACGCAACGATATTTATGCTTGGATTCATGGATGGACGCATGCGAATGTACACCTATATAAGCATAGAGAGAGAGGCCAACCATGGGGGAAAAATATATGTGGCAAAAGCGTAGAAGACAAAGGTCAAAATGGAAAAAAAATAGTGAGAAAGAGAGAGTGACGTAACACCCATGCACCTGGAAATAACTTATATGTATATAATAGATAGATATAAGGGAACAAAGACACACTGACATGGGGTTAAGGGGGAGGAGGTAATAGATATATGGGAAGTGTGGCAGGGGGTGAAGGAGGGAGGGAAGAAATGGGGGTATTACATATATATATATATTGGCTTGTCATTGGAGGGGGTGTGAGGAACTTTCGTTCATGTGCGTGTACATCTGTGTGTTCGCGTCTTTCTTTCCGCGTGACTTTGTTGCTTGTTGGGGCGTTGTTGTTGTTGTTGTTTTTTCTTTCCTTTGCGTGTCTGTTGAATTGTGTCAGTGCCGGCTGACATATTTTTGCCCGAACATTTCTTCTATTCTTCACTCGGACGGGAGTTTTGTGCCTTGGCGTGAGAGAAGTTGATGACCATCTGCCCAGGTCTGTGTGGGGAGTTAGCTGTCACGCCATTCCGCGTCTTCTTGGGAACTCTCCCCACACTCGCTCTGGAGGAGCGCTTTTTACGACAACTACAGCCAGTGCACGCATGGTACAGTAGTCGCAAACGTGTGAAGGAGCAGGCGAATGAATTCATTGAAATTGACCTAGCCTCGTGTGATTTGGAGCTGCTCTTGCGCTACTCGCATGTTTACTACGTGAGACGTCAGTTGTTTGACGAGGCAATTGATAAACAGCTCACGCTTCTGGATACGGGTAAGGCGCCAAAGATGGCCGAGCCAGCGATGCTGCAGTGTCTGCATGCCTGTAATACGGATATAGGCGAGCGATTGCACTATGAAGTGATGAAGCTGCAAGCGTCAAAGAAGGCAGCGTGCGTTCCCAACAGACGCGAGTTGGACCCCAGCCTTCCTCTGGAGATTTACGACTACACGTGTATGATGCGAATGGTGGAAGAAGACATGTGTGGGGTTGAGGATGCGGAGATGAGGGCACGGTCGTATCTTCCGCGTAGTCTGGTCGAGGCGAAGGTGCAACACCTCACAGAGAAGTTACTGGGTTCCGACGCCAAAGGGGCCTTGGAGAAGAGGGAGATCAAACTGTTAAACCGCATGGTTCCACCAGATTACATCAAAGTTGGATGTGTTGAGAAACTACGCCCGTGTGATGTGACTGCGTATTTTCGTTTTTACGGCGAGCGCATCAGTAAGGCGAGCACAGAGAATTATTTCAAGCGAGCCCTTTGGGGTCATGTATACCGTAAGTATGCGACAACTCCCTCCTTCCTACGAGGTATTTCCATGTATTGGGCACGGCACAGCGGGTTAGACACCTCTGCTCACGCAACCACCATGCCACAGGATCTTGCAGTTGCAGTTTGCAAACAACAAACTCTTTTTTCTGCCATTAAGTTTCGGTCGCAGTACATGTACGCGTCTCCGGATTTGGCACGTCAGCTCTGGCGAAGGGATGTGGTAATTCCACTTATGCGTCTATTTCCTCTGATGGGGGCACAAGCCGCGGAGGATCTGGCTGCCAGTGTCCTCGTGGATGCGTTCTGGGCACGACTGCCAATAAGTGATGAGGAAAATCTTCTCAACGACTCTATCGTTCGCTTAGTGCGTCAGTTTGTAGACGAAACCAGCAACATCTACGAAGCCAGTACAGAGGCGGTGCTGAAGCGTGTGGAAGAAGGGTGTAGGTTGGCAGTGCCGCATCTAACAGCGGAGGAGGTGCAACGGATGAATCCAACGCAGGACGAAAAAGTCACAAATGAGGCAGTTGCATAACAACTTGGAAAAGGCTTTGAAGGACGGCGATTAGTTCTCATGTGAATGGGGGAGTGAACGGGGGATGAGGATGTTTGCAATGGCTCACATGAGACCGAAGAGAGGGGAAAAAAAACACGGGAGGTCAGCGAAGAAGGTGTCCAGCCCCCGTTGTTGCAAAGAAAGGTGTGAGAAAGGTGGCGAAGCTTACAAAGAAACAACGGCAAAAGCTGCGATAGGGGGAAAAAGAGACATGCGATTACTTGTTTTTGTCTCTCTCTCACACATACACACATAATTTCTATTTGTCTGTTTTCTTTCTGTCTTTTTTTTTTTTTGTTTAATTGCCTCGGCAACCCATGTGCAAGAGATCGCATGGGAAGGGAGGGACTTGCGAGGCTGTTGGCCACGGAGGTGCTAGGTGGAGACATTAATGCCTGCTGTGGCTTGCTGCGTCGAATATTCAGCGAGACTGTAGAGGAAGATGTCATTCGTGAACTAGAGCGTAGTGGGCAGGGCCTTGTTAGTGATGTTCTAACCTTGGGGAAAGTCTGTTTAGTTGATAACGCGTCTCTTGTGCGTCCTGGCTCTGTGGCAGTTCTTTGTCATGCTTCGCAGCGTCTAGGTGACTGG